GTTCGCTGACGCACGGCGGGGGGGCCCCGCGCATCGCCGCGGTACTTTTCCTCGATGGTTGCGTGTTCTTTTGCCGCGTGGCGGTAGGGCATGATCTGCTGCGCGCGTTTCAGGCGCGTAAGGATCACCAGATCTCTGGCCTGGAGATGATGTCTGTGGCCCTCGGCGTCGCAAGTTTCGCGCCGTTGCTGGACAGGCGCAAGGTGCACGTTTATTCAGACAACGCGTGCGCCGAGGGGGCCCTGCGCAATGGCTGGGCTTCCGCGTTCAATCGCAACGGCGTGATCCATTGCATTTGGCCCGCGTCTTTTCGCTTGCGCTTAAAGATGTTTGTGCGCCGCGTCCCGAGCGCGCTCAACGTGGCGGACCCGCCGAGCTTGGAGTGCTTCCAGTTCGTGGCAGCCCTGCAGGCGCGCGAAGTGCGGGCGACCCCCGGCCCGCCCTTCTTTGGGGTCGCGGCCCACGACGGCCGCTGCAAGCGCGCGCCAGCGCTCGCTCGGGACTGGGGGGAAACGTTGTTTGCGCGCGTCGCGTCAACGTCGCCCTGTTCCAGCACGGGCCAAGGCGCGCTCGCGCGCGGGCCAGCGCCTGCTTGCGCTCGTTTGGGGGCCCGCGAGGGGGCGGAGCTAGCATGTGCAGTGGCAGAGGGACCGGGTCGCGATGAAGGCGCGTGCGCGCGTAACCGCGCCCTGCTCCCCCTGCAGCGCGCGCCCGAGAGCGGCGCGCCGCGATGTCGCAAGGGTCGATGTTCTTCGAGCGCGCGGGCGGCGGCGCCAGACGCAGCGCCCCATCGCTTAATTGGCGCATGAGGATTGCTGATTGTGGCCAGCGCGAAGGACCTGGCGGACCTTCGCGACGTCGATGAATCAGACGCGACGGGCTTCGACTCGCTGTCGCCTCGGCATGGGCGCATGAAGACGCAGCTTATGTCGGCGGCGAATCGCCCCGCAGCGCCCGCCCAATCGCGCAGCCGCGGGCGCGACGCGGCGCCGTGCGCCGCGGCGCCGCCCCCTGCCTGCCCCGTGGCCAGAATCGAGGGCGGCTCGTCTTCGGACGCCGACAGCGAATCGGCGCCAGCTCATCTTCTGTACTGTCGCGCAGAGCGCGGACGGCCCTGGGCGCGCCCCCGAAAAAAGGCCGCGAGCCGGGCCGCGCGGCCAATCGCCGCTAGGTTCGACGAAGCCGCGCGCTTGGCACGGGATTTCGTGCTCCTGGAAGTGGGCCCCTGGGCCGCGCTGGCGGCCGTTGCCGCGCGGGGGGGCCCTTCGTCCCGGTGCGCGCAAGCGAGCGCGAGTGCCGCGCTGGGCCCCAATATTCGGTCGCTCGGCGGCGCGCGCAGCGCGCTTCGCTTGCATCTCAAATTCGCTAATGCCAGGGGTCTGGCGGGCAGAGAGTTCCCTGTGTCCAGGGCTGAGCTTGCTGTGTTCTCGGGCTTGTTCAGGTCCGAGCGCGCGTTCGCGAATTGCGTGTGTCATCTCTGCGCGGTCTCCATGGCTCTCGGTTTTGTTGTGGAGGCATTCGGTTCGTCGTTCGTGAAGCGCATCGAGCAAGCGGTCGCGAAACGCCCCTCTTTTGTCCCGCGCATGAAGACATTCGTGCGGCGGGAAGTCATAGAGCGCGTGCTCGCCTTAGCCGCGGAGGGCAGGGTGGAGCGCCGCCTCGCGCCGTTGCTCGCGTAGGCGTAAATCTTTTCGCTCCGCCTCCCGTCGGGGGCCCTCATTGCTGTCGGCAGATCTCGTGATTTCGACGCCGCGGCCCCGGCGTCAGTCGTCGCGGCCGAGGCGGCGCTTGGCCTCCGGCTCGCGCGGCGCAGGAATGAGGGGCGCCCCGCGACGTGGTGGCGCCGCTGCTTGTGCGCCTCGTCGCGCATCTCGCGCTTAGTCCATGCGGTCGGGCAGCGCCTCGCCTCGGGCGCCCGAGATCGCCCGCTGTTCGCCGGCATCGCGAGTGCAGCGGCCACCGAAGGCCTCCGCGACGCGCTTCGCCGAGCGCTTTCCACTAACCGCATGCCGATGATAATAAAGGCCCCCCCCCCCTTCACTGTTTAGAGTTGATTATCGTCGCCCTATGCAAAATTCAAATTGGGCGGCGAGCGCTGAGGCCGAACTTCATTATCACCTCGAAACGCTATGTTGAGATAGCAACATCAAGCGATGTTGATATAGCAACATCAAGCGAAGCGATCACACTTTTTCAGGATGTGTCAAGCGAAACCAATAATTTTGGGAGGCAGACTCAAACGAAACGAGCAATGTTCTTATTATTCTTCTACTTTCCTCTTCTTCTTTTATATTTCTATCTGTCCTCACGCTCGCCTGAACTTTTTTATCCCTGGGGTTGATTATCCATGGAAAATGAAGCACATGAGCTACCCTACACGAGCACTTAAAACATCAATTTTCATAAAGCGTTTGTAAATTAAAATTGATAGATTTGGAACTTTGGATTTTTCCTTTCTTCGTCCTCTTCTTATTATCCTCTTCTTCTTCTTTCTTATTATTCTTCTACTGTATTCTTCTTCTTTTATATTTCTCTCTGTCCCCACGCTCGCCTGAACTTTTTTATCTCTGGGGTTGATTATCCATGGAAATTGAGGCACATGAGCTACCCTACACGAGCACTTACAACAAACAATTTTCATGAGAGATAAGCCATTGTTGAGGATATTTCTATGAAAACTAAACGCCAAGGATGTCTCAAAACGTGCTCGGCTTGGTCTCCTCTGGATCATCTCTTACTTCGAGATTATGCTGAGGTCTGCTGGGCTACTTTTATTATCTTTTTCTGAACCCCGAACTCTATTATCCCCTAGTGTTTATTCTCACGGGCGTGAGGTTACTCGCAAAGTGCCTACTCGCAAACGCCCGAAGAAACACCTGTCTGCTGTGACGTAATTTATCGTAAATCCTTAGCGGGGGACCCAGGCCATTTGCGAGTAGTTGCTTTGCATGTAGTGGAACGCGCCCGTCGAGCGCTTTCGAAAGCAGGCGTAGCCAATGCGTATGCGTACACCACGCGCGCAATGCGTCGCGGCCATGCTTGGGGCCTCCTAGCAGGCGGCTCCACCGTCGGCGAAATTATGCGCGCTTGGGGCGCATCGCCGGCTTGGAGGCGGGCGGCGTCCTGGCTCCACAACTCGAGGGGGGCGCGGGCCAGCGTCCGCCCGTGCGTTCGCAAGCCGTCGTCGCGGCCACTCGCGCATCCGTTCGGCGCGCGGTCAAGCGGTCGCGGGGGGTTGCGCTCGCCTGCGCGCGCCTGTCTGCGTCGCGAGTGCGCTCGGTCTGCGCGGGGTCTCTCGCGCCCTCGCGCCGCGGTCGGCCGCGCGCGGCGGCGGGGCAGTGCGCGGGCGGCCCCCGGCGTGGGGCAGCGGTCCGCGGCGCGCAGCCCCGCCCGCGCGCGGCCGGCGCGGCGCCGCACCCCGCGTCGGGCGTGGTGTCGCCACGACGACCCTCTTGGTCGTCGCGGCCGCGCTTTGTGGTGACGCTCGTACTTGTTTGTGCAGTGTCACAAAGCGCGGCGGGGGTGCCCACCGCAGGCGCGCGCGCTTATCGCGCCGCGCGCGCCCGCCGCGCCCGCGCAGGCGATTCGGCCTGGCGCGGCGCGCGTGCCTGTCGCAGCGGCGCTGCGCAGGCGTCTGTGAATATGCGGTGGGCGCCGCATTTCTTTTCCCCCGTGGCCTGGCCTGGCCATCGGCTCCTGCGAGGGCCGGCCTCCATGCCTTGGTCGAGCTCGTGGGCGGGCGTCTCTCGCGCCCTCGCGCCGCAGTCGGCCGCGCGCGGCGGCGGGGCGGTTCGCGGACGGCCCCCAGCGTGGGGCAAGGGTCCGCGGCGCGCAGCTCCGCCCGCGCGCGGCCGGCGCGGCGCCGCACCCCGCGTCGGGCGTGGTGTCGCCACGACGACCCTTTGGTCATCAAGGCCGCGCTTTGTGGTGGATACCCCCGTCGTCCACGTGGCAGAGCTACTCGAAGATTGCGCGGTCCCTGTTGGTAAGTGCTTTTGCCTCACTGGGCCAGGCCAGTCGTCTCTGCGCCTGGTCAAAGTTGCCGTGGGGTGGCCTGCGGTAGGCTTCTCTTTTCGCAGGGCAGTGGAGGTGGCCGAGCACTCGTGGCCGCAGCCACATCGTAGACACTTGGGGGTAGTGACGCCCGTGGACTTGACGAGGACGGCTGCGGGGCTGATCCTTGCGTCCGTGGAGGTCCTGCGGTCTCGTTGGTGTCGGTGTTGTGTTCCTCCTGGGTCCAGCCTGGGGTCGCCGCTGCACGGGGGGCGCGTCGCGTCGCGTTTCCATCCGCTGGCAGAGGTGCTTGACGTCGGCACCGTGTCTGGTGCCCCTATCACGAAGGTGCGGAGCTCCGCATCGGCGCTCTTCGAGGCGTCGGTGGCCTGGTAGGTGCTGCAGGTGGTCGCGGTGGGCCGCTGTAGTGACAGTTTCGTGCCATCCATACCTCGCACTGCTGATTACCACGGGCTCGATGGCGAGGGCGTCGTGTTGGAGAACGTGCTCGTCAGGCCATGGCGGCGTCTGCAGCCCACCTCGCGGCTGCAGTCCAGCTCGCTTGGCATAGGTGGGCTGGAGGAGACGGGGTGCTTTCTTATCGCACGAGGGGTTGCGCCGTTCTTGCAGCACTGGCAAATTCGGCCGGGCGGGGTCTTTGAATAGGGATCCTCGGGGCCGCGATCGCCTGCAGTCCAGCCCGCGATTCGACTTGTCATTCTGCCAGTTTTTGCAGAAGAGGCACGCAGGAGTGGAGGGGAGCGTGCCAGGAGCGGCGGGGTGGCAAGAGGGGGGAGGACGACGTGGAGGGAGAGGTAATTAGGGCAACGAAGAACCCATGTGCAGGAGTGGGGGAGGGCAGAAATGGAGTGGAGGAAGGGCCACGCGCGGGATAGGGGGTGTATGGGGCGTAGGAGGAATGGCGTGGTGAGGAGCAGGATGGCAAGGAGTAGGTATACTCTTTGAGATGTGACGGTTGCAGTGGCAGACCTGAGGGTTGCGCTCAGGTGCCGGCGGCGGAGCTGGCGCGGGATGGTCTGGCCTCTTCGGCAAGCGCAGTGGCTCCGCAACAGCGAACCAGGCGCCAGCGATGCGGGCGACGCCGCAGCGTTCCAAGGAGCCAGCAGTTTGCCGGTCATCACTACCTGCTCGCCACCCGCCCCGCCACCTCCATCGCCACAACCATTGCCACCGCCACCACCTCGGCCAGTGCCGCTTACACTATTAGTTTGCACTTACGCGCGATTGCAATATTCCATTGTCCATACAATCTGGCAGTGTGAAGTCTTGACGCTTCGCATGCCCCCATCAGCCCATCCAGAAGCGATGCGCAGTGGACGTCATCTCGAAGAGGGGCGTATGTAAGCTTACAGCGGAGCGTGGAAGCCAACACAAGCCATCGGAAGCGAAAAGGCCAGAGTGCTAGCACCACTGGTTTCTTTAGGTCGTTGGCATATTTTGGGTTAGGCCTTTTGGAGGCATGTTGGGCGCCATTTGGAACCATCCTCGGCTATCTTTCAGGAGGGAAAAAACACACAGACACAATTAATCCTCGATTCCCAGGAAAATATGGGAAAATATGGGAATTGGGGGGGAAGACAAAAACCCAGAAAATATGGGAAAATATGGGAACTCATTTTATTTGTGTGTATTTATTTGTGTGTCCTAATTTCCCCTTAATCTTGTGGTATCTTGGGCTGTATGGGGCCGCCGCGGGTCATCAAAGACTCCCTGGCGACGCGCGGCGCCCGTTTGTAGACCCAAGGGATTGTATGGGATAGGGGTACTCCTCCCGCCGAGCTGGAATCCCTCTCTTTTGCGACTCCGACAGCTCGTGATTCTCTTTCACCTCCACCGCCTCCTTCACCAAGCAAGGAGGAGTCGAGGGAACTGGTGTCCGTCCGCCGATCAGGCGAGAGACTTTGCCAAAGCGGCACAGATGGCGACTGACACTCCCATGGGAGGGTGGCGCTCGATCGCCAGAAGCTTGAGGGTGCAGCAGGTGTAGGTGTGGCTGACGAACTCATTCCGACGCTGGGCCTCCCACCGAGCTGGAATCTTGGTTTCCACTTGCTGCATGGCGTGATCATGAACCTCCATCGTCCATGCAAGCTGGAAGTACAATCTAAAGATCTCCTCACATTGGGGTGCCCTCCTCTAAGCACAGCCTCCCGGGCCGCAGGGCTCTTGCCATTCAATCCTTGTGATGGGGGTATTCTCTCACCATGTGATACAATGTGCAATCACGTTGTGAACATATGACGTGCCACTGTTCCCCTTTCTCAGTGGCACTGGTGGCAGGGGGACATGAAACGATAGGGGCGCTTGATACTGTATCGATGATAGGTGATCGCAGGTGGTAGTTGGTTTCAGTGACGCAGCGATGCACTGCTGCTGGTAATGGTGCTGGTGGTGGTGGTGATGACGCAGCTGCTGGTGCTCACAGTGGTTATGGTGATATACTGAGCCAGGCCTTTCGATGTATGGATGACGCGGCATCAGGCGTCTTTTGGACCCTTTCATCACTCAATTGTACAAGTCCTTTGTCTTGGTGGAGCCCTACACGCTTCAATACATGCACTGACACATCTTGGAATTCTCCAGTGAGCAAATGCCCGCCGCCACGTTTCGACACCTTGTCTCGCCAGAGCCGCGGGAGGCCACCTAAGATGGTACCGCTCGCCGCGTCCCGATCTTCAGCAGCCACCACCCACGTGCATATGCAGCTGCCGACCCGCGCCATGGATGTGGCCCACAGACACGAACTCAAAACATCGAGGGCACGAACACTGGAGACAGTGTACACGAAATCGCACGGCCCAGAAGGAGATTCTGCGCTGGGCAGTGCTCTTTTCTGATCCGGTTGTTTGAATTCCAACAGCAACAGGTAAGCGACAACGGATCGACTTGCGTGCGACAGTAGTAGATAAACGACTCGACTCCATGTCCGATGTTCCGGCTAATCCATCAGAGTTTCACGGCAAGGCACGGCAGAGTTCAGAACGTTCCCATGTTTGCGTAGAGGCCTGTCATGATGTGGCCAGAGGCGTCCCAAAGAACGCCCCGACTCCAAAGGAGTACGCGCGGTCATTTGAGTATGCCTGGCCAGGGGGCCACAACTCGCCGTTCCAGTGGACGCCCAGCTTGCCGCATGGCGCAACTTATAATCTGCGACGCTCAGGTACGAGCAAGAGCCCCGACGTAGCTGACGCCACGGCACATATCGTTTGGCCTCCCCTGGTTTGCCCTGGTGTGTTCCGTCTCACGTCGCGGTGACAACCGTGCTGCACATGGTGTTGTCGCGTGCAAAGAACATGTTGCAGCTTGCGGGGGAGCACGACTTAAGGGTGCGACAAACTTGGCCCCGTTGTTGCCAAGCGTCGCGCGGAGCCTGCGCTTAGCAGCAGGGCGGTGTGATGAACGCCTGCGGAAGCAGCGACCGCGCATGGCAACCCCGTTGCAAGATCCACGACCTGTAACGTCGCACTGCCTTGCACTGTTGCCGAGCGCCGCAGCAGAGTCGACGCCGTCGAGCAGGACGGTGTGCTTGTATTTTGCACTTGTGCTGGAAGCTCTTGTGTAGGCACTCGCCGAGGTGCTTCGAGCCGACGGCGATACCAAAGTCGTCGCTCCAGACTTTCAGGGTGTGCAGCGCACCTGAAGCGCTGGACCTCGAAGCGCTGAGAGATGGACCTCGTAGCTCAGCTGGTGGTTCTCGGGCTCAGCTGGTGGCCCTCATAGCCCTGCTTGTGGCTCTCGCAGTTCAGATCGCGGTCCTCGTAGCTCAGCTTGTGGCTCTCGTAGCTCCGCTGGTGGTTCTCGCAGCTCGGCTTGTGGTCCTCGCAGGTCATCTGACGGCCCTGGTAGCTCTGCAGGTGGCTGCAGTAGCTTTGCTTGCTGCCCTCGAAGCTCGGGTTGTGGCCCTCGTAGCTGTGCAGGGGGTCCTTTTCCGCAGGAGGGGTTGTCGTAGCAATCTGAATTCCATTGGACTTGTACTTTCCCTTCGGTGCACCCCTGTCAGGGTGGGCCTGGCTTCGAGGGAGCCCGCAGAGTCGTCGCCAGCCAAGTCCCAGTACTCTGCCTTCCAGATGTCGACGTTCTGGTCGGCGTTTTCCTCCTGGTCGCTCTCCTCGTACTACCCGTCGCTCTCCTCATGCTCCTCGTCGCACTCGTCGTCCTCATAGCCGCTCTCCTCTGACAGCAGCGGTTCCGTCTGGAGATCCGTCCGCAAATTCGCGAGAGGTGGGACCAGCCGGAGCCAGTCTCGCCCCTCATCGTCTGGGATGTAGACACCCTGGAGGCCGTCGTAGCCCTTGTGGTCGTACTGGTCACCGTACTGGGCGGCGTCGCCGTACTGGTTGCCGTACTTGTCGCCGTGCCGTGCTGGTCGCCGTACTGGTCGTAGCTCTGCTGCTGCTGCTGCTGCTGCTGCAGTGGGACCTCCACGACGATGTACTGTATGTGCTGTTTCTGATCTTTACGCTTTGTGACGAACTTGGTGGCGTACTTGGTGTCGTAATGGTGGTGGTTCCTGTTATGCAGCTCATTCTCTTACTTGGGCCGCCTGTTACGCAGCTCGTTCTCGTACTTGGGCTGCTTGCTACGCAGCTCGTACCTGGACGCCATTGCGAGGGCGGCCGTGGCAATGATACTGATGGCACCGGATCGAGGTTCTATCCCATGTCGGACGTTGTACCCACTCGTTTTTGGGCCGCGTCTGTTCGTGCCCGTATCCCTCTATGCGTGTATGGTCTCGGTATATTTGCCAGTAGGTCTGCACCAAGGTGGGTAGGTTTCGTAGCCCTGAGGTAATGTTGAAGGCGTCCGCCTGGTGGATGATGTTGTAGTCGCGGTTGATCATCTTGTCGCGTTACGCGCGCCGCCGATGGCAGCTGGCGCGCTGAGGCGTGTCCTCCCCAGGGCGCGCGCGCGCAGCTGGGCGCGGCGCCCAGGGGCGAATGCGGGGATATATATATATATATATATATATATATATATATATTATATATATGTGTATAGAGTTCCCGCAAACGGCCTTCCTCCTCCTCCTCCTCCTCCTCCTCTTCCTCCTCTTCCTCCTCCTCTCCCTCCTCCTCCTCCTCCTCCTCCTCCTCCTCCCCCTCTTCTTCATCTTCTTCTTCCTCCTCCTCCTCCTCCTCGCCTCCTTCTCCTGCGTAGGGGTGGCTTGTATAGCAGAAGAGAAGGGCCGTTCAGTCAACGCTTGCCCCTGCAGGTACATAACCTTTCTCATCGCGCGGCACGTCCAGACAGACGGAGGTTTCATCGTGCTGTCCCAAACAAACCAGCTGGCGTTCTCCTCAGGAGGGGGCCCCACCTGCTCCCCCCCCCCTACCCCAGACATCCGATGTTTCGTTTTTTTTCAAGGCGGGCCTCCCCCCAGACCCTTTGTGGCCAGGGCCAGTTTTTCGTCCCGAGTCGTTACCTCGCGGCCTCCCGTGCCCGGCGAGGCCCCTGGCGAGGCGTCCTGAGGAGGCCCCTGCTGCTCCCCCTTGCAGGGCCTCCCCGATGGAGTCGGAGCAGATGGGTCGGAGGACCACGCTGCATCGCCGATGCACGGGCGATGCGGCTCGATCTGGAGCCCGAGTTTTCCCATGCCGACGTCGCCGATGCATCGCCGACGTCGCCGATGCATCGCCCATGCATCGGTGTTGCCTCGTTGATGCGGCGCGATCCGCCGACCCCATCTACACTCTAGGCGATGCTTAAGAAAACCCAAGTTTTCGGCCAGAGTCTCGATTGTTCTTAATGTTTCAATGTCAATCCCAAGATTTGAATAGACATGCTGGGTTTTTATTCAAATTCTGAGACTATGAATTTCTTAACCCATGATTTCTAAAGCATTTCGCAGGGTGTACTCTGACCCCATCCGGGAGGGCCGGTGTGGCCGCACGGGTCGGCCAACGACGACAGCCGACGGCAGCCGACGAGCCGCACGACAGCCGACGGCAGCCGCACGGGTCGGCCAACGACGACAGCCGACGGCAGCCGACGGGTCCACGGCGGCAGCCGACACGGGCCCACCCCCCGTCTGCCCCTCCCCGAGGAGGTCCGCGACCTCCTCGCACAGCAGGAGCGCGAGCGCGCCGCCGAGCGCGAGGGCAGGGAGCGCCGGCGCAGCGGCGCGCAGTGCTCGCAGATGTGAGCCGCCGGCGGGCCGACGTGCGCCCCGATCGGCGGCTGCCCGCTGCCGCCTCCTCAAGGTACCCTGACGTCGTCGCGTCGCGAAGAAAGCTCGACCCCAGGGCGCTGAGGCTCCGCAACAGTTGGAGTGGCCGGCGTTTGGCTGTTCTCGGCCTTCCTGGGGACTCGACGGGCCCTTGGCCCGTCAAAGAACGACCCAGGATGAGAAGCCGGCGCTAGGGCAGTTGTCCAGACCTCTGGGGGTCCACGCATCGAAAAATCGGGGTGCCGGATGTCTGGGAAGGGAAGTTTTCGGCATTTTCGCCCTCCAGGGTCCCTCATGTAGCCCCAGGACCGTCAATAAAAGACTACCCGAGATGAAAAAGCTGGTCCGGGGAAACGTCCAGACCCTCGGGGAGCGTCCCCCAGTACTCAGATCTCTGGCAGAAGATTCCTCGAGTTCAGCTTCTGGGGCCCCGTATCGGGCCCCGGGGCCATCATCGGGGGAGCGTAAGACCCGGGTTTGCCAGGACTCGGGTTCGCCATCGTTTTTTGACGACCGCGCCTCGGATTTTGACGAGGAGGAGTTTCGTGGGATGTCTGCAGCGGGAGGCCTCGTCAAAATGCAGGCTCGGCCTCGTCATTTTTTGACGACCTCGTCGGGGATTTCCGAGTCCACTGTACCCAGGTCTTACGTTCCCCGGGGCCATCAGAAACGGAGGAGGAGGAGGAGGAGGAGGAGGAGGAGGAGGAGGAGGAGGAGGAGGAGGAGGAGGAGGAGGAGGAGGAGGAGCGAGCAGCCAAAGCTGCCCCAGGGGAGGGTGTTGGGAGCTCCCGAGGCCGCGGCTTTTGAGCAAGCCGTGGCGGTGGATGTCCGGGTACGGTCAGGAGGGAGAGAAGCACACGGACACAATTCACCGTCGATCCCCAGGAGCCCATGGGAAACTGGGGGCAGTGGGGGGAAGACGAGAACCCGGAACAAAACATTTGAAGATGTGTGGAATCCTGGCATTTGTGCCTAGTTATTTGTGTGTCCCTGGGCCCTTGAATATATGTATATATGTATTTATTTATATATGCATTTATATATATGTATATATACATAGAAGGATTTTTAGATATCTATCTATCTATCTATCTATCTATCTATCTATCTATCTATCTATCTATCTATCTATCTATCTATCTATCTATATCTATCTATCTATCTATCTATCTATCTATCTATCTATCTATCTATATATCTATCTAGCTATCTATCTATCTATCTATCCATCTATCCATCTATCCATCTATCCATCTATCCATCTATCCATCTATCCATCTATCCATCTAGCCATCTAGCTATCTAGCTATCTAGCTATCTATCTGCCCGACCCGGCTCGCACCACAGCGCCAGCGAGGCCAGCGGCGCGTCGCTGGCGGCGCGCTGGGCAGGTCCGCCCCGGCTCCATCTCGGACTTGGCCTCGATCTGGGCGGCTCTGGCCCTGGAGCACTCCGGAGGCGTGCGTCCATGGGCGTCCAGGGGCGCCCAGGGGGCGTCCAGGGGGCGCCCAGGGGGCGTCCAGGAGTCCTCTGGACGCCCCTAGACGGTGTTGGCCTCTGGAGGCCTCGACGGGAAGAAGAGAGGCCTCCGCAGGCTATGGGTGCGCCCGGAAAGATCCCGCGGAGGTCTCTGGAGACCTCCGGAGTCCGTTCAGGAACCTCCAGAGTCCCGTGCCCCCGCCCAGACATCCAACCAACGCATTGACCAGCATCGAGGCGGAGGTTTTTTGGCGTTTTCGGTCTCCGGTGGCCCTCGTCGGGCCCGGGGACTGTTGAAAGCAAGAATTCGCGAGATGAAAAGCCCGCCCTGGAAAAAGTGTCGGGACTTCCGGGGGCCCCATAATTATTCAGGCGATCGCAAACATGGATCAAGGGGTCGTGGATTAGCGACAGGTTCCGTTTCCACGGGACATCGCGGATTTCTGCCGCCGAGCGAGGCGGCACTGGCCGCATTTTGGGGAGGGCACCTCCACGATCCATGTTTGCGCGCCCCCGAATTATCGGAGGCCTACAGGCTGACACCAACACCAATATCGGCGGTGAGCCTGAACCGAGAGAACATACTCCCGACCTCGGTGATGGTGGTAATATTCGGGCTTCCTGGGAGCCGAAATATTACCACCAACACCGAAATCTAGGATCATCTTCCCCCTGTGGAGGCAGCCCCCTGTGTTGGTGTTGGTGCCCATTTCCAGGCTTTCAAAATTATGGCAAGAAAGCAAGACGTTGGGATCTCTGGGCCGTCAGCGGCTGCCGCTGCCCGGCCTCGGGCAGGCTCACGGCGAGGGTGAGTCACTCCAGGGCGTTCTTGTGGGCAAGCTGTACACCTTAGGCGATGTTTAAGAAAACTGAAGTTTTCGGCCAGAGTCTCGATTATTCTTAACGTTTCAATGTAAATCCTAAGATTTTGGTAGAAATGTTGGGTTTTTATTCAAGTTCTGAGACCATGAATTTCTTAACCCATGATTTCTTAACCATTTCGCGTGGTGTGCGTCCACATCTACTGCGCCTCGGAGTTTCGGGCTCCCTTCTCCAGAAACCGTCGGCCAAGCTCGTATCGGCCACGCGGCCGCGACCTCCGGTAGCATTCTGAACGGGCTGGTCACGACCTCTCACGCATAAGTTTCACCTGCGAATGCTGTTTTGCCGATTTCTTCCATGCAGCCGCCTTGGCGCCCCTCCGCCGCGCCTTCATGGCGCCACACGCGCGGAGCCGAGTCCGAGTCCGAGTTCTCCAGAAACCAGAGGCGCGGGGGATATGGATTGGCCCCTGGAGGCTAGATTGTTGGTCACATGCGCTGCACCTCGGCCTTTTGGCGCCCCTTCCAGAAAGTCCAAGGCGCAGTGGATATGGATGCACATCAGATCTTGCCCGCAGTTCTGTCTCTGGACCCGCCAGCTCTCAGAGATCATCGGAGCGATGCGAAAGTAAACGGGGCCGACACTCGCGCGAGAGCTTCCCACGTGAGGCCGCGCGTGAGCGCCCTCTTCTCCACGCGGTGTGCCACGCTGGCGGCCCGCGTAAGCCACCGTGTCAGGTAGCCATGCCATCGTGCGTTAGACCCCTTGCTTTTCGTTGTTCACTCTGTCTTTGTCCTCCCTTCGTCTTACCGCTCTGGTCCCACCCGACCTGGACCCCCGCTCCAGCCTGGGGCCTGGTCCCAGCCTGACCCCGACATCGGCCCAGGAAGCTTCAAGAGGGCCCAAATCGGTTTCAAGACAGCCAAAGATGCCCCCAGGACGGCCTCAGAGAGACCCCAGGGGACCCGAAGACGGTCCAAGATTTTGATGGCCGCAGCCAGGCCCAAGAGATTCCCAAGACGCCCAAACAAGAGGCCCCCAAGAGGATTCCCAGGAGGCCTGGATGAGGCAAACGACATGCGTTTCCTTAGATTTTTGCTTCCTCTTCGGGCCAATAACGGCCAAAGGCGGCCCTGGGCGCCTCCGAGATCGCACCAAAGACGTCCCAATAAGTCCCTAAGATGGTTTCAAAACGGCCCACGAGGGCCTGAAGACAGCCCAATAGAGTTCCAAGACGGCTCCAGGAGGGCCCCACAGAGCCCCAAGAGGCCAGGAGAGCCCCAACGGGCCACATGAGGGTCCCAAGCGGGCCCCGTGAGCGCCCCATGCCGTCCGAAGCCCCCCGAGACGGTCCAAGGATGCCCCAGGACAGCCCAAACGGGCCCCGAAACTTCCCGAAAGACATCAAAAAGGCTCCCAGGAGGCCTTCAAGGTTCCTCCAAGAGCCTCTCAAGAGAACCCTCAGGAGCGAGCAGTGACGTGAAAAACACTGCAAGGCGGCCGAAGCCCCCTGAGACGGTCCAAGGGGGCCCCAGGACGGTCCAAGAGGGCCTCAAAACGGCCCCAACAGAGCCCCAACAACAGGCCCCCGAGGCGCCGAAAGTTCTGAACGCCAAGGCCCGCAAGAGCGAACGGTGACGTGAAACAGCTCTTAACGCCAAGGCTGCCAAGAGCGAGTGGTTCGGTTAACAGCTCTTAACTCCAAGGGTTCCATGACCATGCGTGAGCGGTGACGTGCAACGCTGTTCACGCCAAGGCTCCCAAGAGCGAACGATGACGTGAACAAGCTCTTCAGACCAAGGCCTCCAAGAGCAAACGGTGACGTGAAACAGCTCTTAACGCCAAAGCTCCCAAGAGCGAACCGTGTCATGAGCCCGTCCAGGCGAGTTCCTGAAGCGCTCTTTCCGTTTCCGTGTCGGCCCAGGCTCTAACACGCCCCGACATGCCGAAGGTACCGTGGCGGATAGCACCAGCAATTGTATCAGTGCTGGTTGTGTCGGGTCAGTGGATGCAAGGGAAGGCGTCCTCCGATAGTTTCCCTACGTGGATCTGGTTTGATATTTGAGCAGCGTGTTGGGTCGGTCCAGTGCGCGAGCACCACTCCTCTGCCTCCTCCCTCACTCCTATCCCGCCGCAGTTCCCGACCTTCCATGTCCTGGCGGCGGCTCCGCCTTCAGGGGATGTCCTGATGGTTATGCCTGCTCGGCCACCTCGGCTCGGCGATTCAAACACGGGGGTATCAAGCAATGTGAAATCAGCCTTGAATCCCTTCCTATCCTTGGGGCCTCATCCTTCAGGAACCCATCTTTGAACCGCCGATCTCCGCCTCCAGCAGCGGGCAGCCCCGAGTCCCACGTGCACCCTGGTGCTAATGCTAAACGTCGAGGTTAGTTGGGATGTGCCTGACGGAGCTGGGTGTGCGCACGTCGGCGTTTCCGGCACCGCGGCGGGGACTGCTGGCGCCGTGGCGTGCAGCAGGGCCCTTCCTCCGGGTGGACGCGTCAGCTGAGTTCCAGAGGCTCCTTCAGTCTCGCTTCCCCAGATTTTCCCCGCCCCTGGCCCAACCGCGGCCCTTGTCCTTAATCTCTTTCCAGCCTCCTCCCAGCCTTGCTTCCCAACCTCCCTCCCACCCTTCCCCTCGCAGCGCCTCGCGCGCGCCCGACGCCCAGTCTGCA